ACACACACACACACACAGACACGCACACAGACACACACACACACAGACACAGACAGACACAAACACACACACGCACACGCACACAGACACTGCTTAAACACTGAGAAAAACAATGCAAAGGAACCATATCTAAGAGCTGCCTATTCTATTACAGCTACTGAAATAGATAAAGTGACATTAATAGCGAAGTGTTTTGAAATAGAAACTGAAGGCAATGTCATCTGATACTTCATGATTTGAAGAGTTTAAAGTTCTTACTTGCTGGGAAACACAACCAGGCGTGTAACCAGGAATACAGCAGCAAAAATCACAAACAATGAATCGCAGGTTTTCTTCCAGCCGGCGTAGTTGAACATCTTGGCAGACTGTGGAAAATCCAGAGAGATTTTGTTGAGCTACAATAAATGACAATACATTTAAAGCACTGAAACTTCAAAACGTAAACTAATACTCTGACAGAATGGACACAGAGACTGAATCAGATATATATTAAGAAAATGACTGCGGATTTACAGTTACAATCTGACATTTCCAACAAAGCTGGACAGTTATCAAAAAGTATTTGCTTGATCTTTAAAATGTTGTAAGGGGCTTTTTGTAGTTATGTATTTGTTTTTATTTTAAGTTATTAACGGTTTCTTCTTTCTTTCTTTCTTTCTTATTATTATTATTTAATATGAATTTATTTAGTTTTTTAAGTATTAATATTTCAAGTAAATGCTATGTGTATATTGTTATGTTTATAAAAAGTTGAATAAAAACATATTTAAAAAGAAACTTAAACTAAAATTAGAAATATTTTGGCAAATAACAAATAAAGTTGAAACACTAAAATAACTATAATTAAAAGCTAAATGGCAATACACACACACATATATATATATATACACACACACATAAAAAAATAATAAACATGTGTATATGTGAAAATATACACATAAAAAATAAAACTAAAAATTAAATAAATAATTTAAGTTGAAGTTCTAAAATTTAAGTTCTAAAACTAAAATGAGAAATGTTTCCTTAGCAACTAACTGAATAAATAAAGTTGAAATACTAAAATTACTAAAACTGAAATGAAAATAAATTATATATATACACACACACACATATATATATATATATAAAAAACAAATTATAACAAAGAAAATGAACAAAAGCACACACAAAAAATACTAAAACTTTAATTAAAATTAAACTGAAAATTCACAAATAAAAGTAAAACTAACTGAAATACATAATTTAAGTTGAAGTTGTACATTTTAAGTCGTGAAACCACATAAAAATCCAAATGACTCTAAAGCACAAAACGTCATAAAGCCCAAACCAAGTGTAAAGGTTACTGCGAATGATGACCCAGGAACAGGTGTGGCTTCAACAGCAAACAGGAGTGAAATCATCAGATGGGGATTTTTTGTTAGACTGGTTGTTTCTGAGCATGAATGCGTGACTCAGCGGTCGATCTCGTACCTCCAGCAGGAAGTCAGAGGAGTCGTGGACGAGCATCACCAGGGTCCCGATCCGAGTGTAGTTGGAGCAGTACGAGAAACCCAGCAAGAAGATGGTGGCGAAGTGATGGACGATCTGTTCTTTGAAATCCTAAAGCAGAATTAATGGAAGAAGGCAAAAGAATATCAGTAACTGATATTATAGTGGGCGGTACTGACAGGAAATGAAACCTGAAACAACCAAACGATAAATCCGTCGAGACAATAGATAATGTGCTGCTGACACAATCAAGGAAGAAAACCACACACGAAATCTCTTTCATTTCTCAATCCTTCAAGCATTTAAAGAAACCGTTCACACAAAAATGAAAATTTGCTGAAAATGTGTTCACCCTCAGGTCATCAAAGATCAGGATGTGTTTGTTTCTTCATCAGATTTGGAGAAATGTAGCATTGCATCAGTGTCTCAGCAATGGATGCTCTGCAGTGAATGGGTGCCGTCAGAATGAGAGTCCAAACAGCTGATAAAAACATCACAATAATCCACAGCACTCCAGTCCATCAGTTAACATCTGGAGACGACAAAAGCTGAAACAAATCCATCATTAAGAAGTTTTTAACTTAAATATCCATAATCCATAATAACGCTTCCTCCAGTGAAAAAGTGCATCTCTTGTTGTCTCTCACATCAAAATCCAGCCACATATGTGTTTAGAGCTGTTTAAACGCTGCTTGATCTGTGCAGATTTCTCTCCTGATTCACACCAGAACACTTTTTCACTGGAGGAAGTGTTATTATGGATTATAGATTATGGACTCGTATTTAAGCAATTGTTTGAAGTTAAAAACATCTTAATGATGGATTTGTTTCTTACAAAGCTCTTGTCTTCTCCAGATGTTAACTGATGGACTGGAGTGCTGTGGATTATTGTGATGTTTTTATCAGCTGTTTGGACTCTCATTCTGACGGCACCCATTCACTGCAGAGCATCCATTGCTGAGACACTGATGCAATGCTACATTTCTCCAAATCTGATGATGAATTTTTAGAAAATGTTTATTTTTGGGTGAAATATAAACTCAAGTTTCCTAGCTTTTCACTGCTGTGTGGTTAAAACCAGCATCCACATAGAAATGCTGTAATTTTCCTTGATATTACAGGTAGATTTTTCTGAGATACGACACATACAAGCCCATATTTATCACTGTCATAGTACGGAGCTTGAGTGATGAAATTCTCTTTAACTTCTCCAACGCAGCAATGAGATCAAATGTAGAGCAAATGGAAACTTTTACACATTTTCTGAGATGTTTCTCCTCTAAAAGACTCAGTAACCAGAGTATACAAATTCAGAGGATTTCAAACAAGGTCTTAAACTGTGCTCAAGAGACGAACGTCTCAATCAAAAGACAGAGATCTCAATATGAACTCAAACATTCCTCATCAAATGGCTCTAAACTCTTAATGGATGACTGTTGACTCAGTTGTGGATATTTTTAGTTCTCCAAAGGAGGAACTAAAAATAAAAGTGTGATATTTAAATGAAATGCAACTAAAAACTCAAGTCTCCGCTGAGCAATAATATGTTACTCTGTGTGACATTTGTCAGACAACAATGAATGTTAAAATATTAAACTAAAGATTCATGTTAATACATTTTAACGTAGGTATATTTAACTTTATTTTGAGCAGCTAGCAAAGTAAATAATTGAGCAGCTCTAAAAGGACATTCGCTTTGAAAGAGAAACTCTGACCAGGTAACACACACGAGGTCATCATAAAACATTCAGAAAGCAAATAACTCCCCTGAGGGACACTATTGTGCAAGATCTTACTTTTCTCTTGACGTCCACAGACACACAGAGCAGCAGAGACCAGTAGAAGCCAAGCTCAAGCATGTAGTACCAGTAATGAGCGTCCTGAACCGGCTAGAGACACAAACACAGGACCTGAGTGAAAACAGGGCTCACAGCAAAGCTCTAAGCAGGCTTATTGTAGGTAACTAAAAAGCTTTTTCATTGCTTGAAATACAATAAACTCAAATTAAAATTTTTTTTTTAAAAATAATCATTTTAGATTAGCCAAGGCAACATCTCACATTTTAATTTCTCATTTTTCATTGATCAACTTGATGTACTAAAATGACTAAAACTGAAATAAAAATGACTAAAAACTACATAGACATGTTTACACAAATAATAATAGTAATAAACGAATACATTTGACCAAACACACAAGAAAATCACAAAAACTGACTCGAATTTGAATGAAAATGGAAAAAAAAAAATTCAACTTCATCAAAAGCAGAAGCCTTTTTAAAATTATGAGAAATGATGAGACTGCAATTGTAAATACGTTGCCAAAACCAGCATCCATGTGAAAAAATATTGGAATTTGCCTTTATATTACAGGTAGATTTTTCTGATAATGCTAAAATATGACTCATATCGGCACAAACCTACAGTATGAGTCTACTATATATTTCTGTAAAAAACGTTTTTGAAAGAGTCTCTTCTGTTCACCAGGGCTGCATTCATTTGATCAAAAATACTGTAAAACATTGTGAAATATTATTACAATTTCAAATATCTGTTTTCTAAGTGAATATTTTGTAAAACGTAATTTATTCCTGTGCATCAAAGCATCATTACTCCTTCAGAAATCCTTCTAATATGCTGATTCCTGCTCAGGAAACATTTCTGATTATTATCAATGTTGAAAACACTTGTGCTGCTCAATAGTTTTGAGAAAACCTTGACACATTTTATTTTTCAGGATTCTCTGATGAATAGAAAGTTCAAAAGAACAGCATTTATTTGAAATGGAAATTTCTTGTAACATTATAAATGTCTTTACCTTTACCGTTTTGAGCAATTTAATGCATCCTTACTGAATAAAGGTATTCATTTATTTTAAAAAAAATATGGAAAAATATCCACCTGTCGAGGAAATCCTCTCCAGCACTCTCTCTGATCCCAGAACCAGGGCGTCTATGAGGAAGACAAACACTGCGTGACAAATCACTTTCACACAACCGCCATTAAAATCAAACACCGACATCAAAACTGCTTCCTTTAAGCGTCTGACAACAAAAGAGCCAGTCATACAGCGAGAAGCACACCGAGTCCCGAGGGCTTGTGTTGCGTTTCAGAAAAACATTAGAACCACGTGCATTCAAAACAACAAAGCTCAGGCTTCTTCAAGCACTCCTTCGTGTTGCTTTAAAGCGTTTAAGGCTTCTGAGTAAACCAGACTTTAACTAGGGGACCCTAATTAGGAGACGACTCAAAAGACACCAAGCCCAAGACACACTCGGGTTCACGAGGGAATACAACTTCAAATGTCTACTCACGTTAATTAAAGACGCCAATCCCGCGGTGAAAGCAAGCAGGTAGAACACAAACCTCCAGCTGGGGAAACAAAAGATATGAAGTTACTCTGGTAAAAAAATAAAAATAGATTTACTACACATGCATCTGCATCTTGAAATACCATTTCTGGGTTTTTCTGGCAAAATTTGATGATGCTGAGTTCAAAAATATCAACAAAAACATTACATCATGGACAGTTTTTTCACAAAATAAGAATTAAGGTTTTTCAAATTGTATCTATTTGCATCAACTTTAATGCACATGTCAAAGTAACAAAAGCAGTCAAATGTCAAAAATGTTTTTATATATATATATTGAAATAAATGCAGCCTTGGTGAGCATTTATATATATAACAACAACAATGTAACAATTAAAATGGAGTTATTTTATAATTCCATTTCACATGCTCATATTTATTGAGAGACATGGAAATTTAAATAAATAAATAAATACATTCTCAGGGCTGGACTATTTAAGTGAACTACAAAAAGATTAAAGGTGATTTAAATGGTAATGGATTAAAAGTATTACTTGAGATTATTGTAGATATATGTGTATGGTGACAATGAAGTGATTTGATTTATTGACTTTCAAAAAGACCCAATATTAATATTAATATATAAAAATATCAATAAAAACTTTCCTTCACGATACACAATGGACTTTTTATAAAGTAAGGTTTTTCAAATTATATATATATATAATACACTTATCAAAATAAAAAAAGCAGTCAATGTCAAAAGTTTCTGATGTCAGAAGTATTTAAAATACATAATTTAACTTACAATCTGCATGTAATATGCATTTGATGCAATTTACACAATTAGCATGTATTGATTTTTTCCACAAAATCTGTCATTTTCTGTCTGGATGCAGTAAAACGCCCACGGATGCAGCAAAAAACATCAGGCTCGTGTTTGCATTTTCTCCATCACTGTCCATAATTCTGACCTTGAAATCATGATTATGCATAAAATAATGTCATGCTTGTGACAATGGGCTGGGAACTGAACAGATAGTTGTGATGTGGCTCAGATTCAGACAGGAATCGTGTGTTTGTGATGCGTTTCTGCTGATTAAGGAGAATATGAGACTTCTTGACCTTACAAAAGCTTGTCAAAAGCAAAATGCGACAAAATGCATCACATTTTGAGTGAAAGTGTGACGTGCTCCAGTGAAACAGACACTATTTTTGGAATCAGCAGCACAAAGTATTGTATTTCATTCAGCAGATACAGTATGCTGCAGGGCCATGTGGAACTATGATTGTGATATTATCAAAAGGTGAACTTACCTGGCCTCGCAAAACTTCTTACTGTTGCTGGGTCGGTCCAGGTTTCTGCGGTTACGGAACCAGGTCTCCACTTGTCTGTGAGTCAGGTTGCACTGGTTAACCAGGCTGGAGATCTCACTCTAGATGGATTAATGCAGTGACATGAGCTATTATTTCACAATGAACAATAATTCAATAAGACCAATACAATAGGTCTATTCACAGCATCTGTGATAATGATTACCACAGATCATAACTCATGCCTGAGCATGTGAAGCTGCCACTTTACACGTTTCTTTTCCCAAACAATCCTCATTACAAAGACACATGAAACAGAAACACACACACATTTAAAAATTCAGTGATACAAAACATTTACCTGAATAATTATATAATGTAATAATTGATTATTATTATTATATTATCTAGTAATATAATCCTATTTCTATAAATCTATAAATTAATAATTCACATAAATCTAAAATAACTTTGTTAATTAAATGTAATTATTGAATGTATTATTATTAATTTAATTATCAGTTTAATTATATAATTAGATATTTACAATATATGAATCAATAATTTGTGTATGAAACATATGAAACAATTGTTTTAATTGATCAAAGGTGTAGTTTTGAGCTGCATAAATGTCTTATGAAATGTAAAAATTGGTGAAATAAAAAAGGTAAAATAAGTTTCTGATTTAGACCAGTCTACATCCTTTTGAGCTTTTTATTTCAGTTTTCATTTTAATTTTAGTTCGTTTTAGCAATTTTGTTATGTGCTTTTCTCATTTTTATTATTCTTATATATTTCAGTATAGCTTTAATTCATTTTTATTTAAGTTTTCCTTTTAATTTTAGTTCGTTTCAGCAATTTTGTTATGTGCTTTTCTCATTTTTATATTTTTCAGTTGAGCTTTTATTTATTTTTATTTTGGTTTTAGTTGTGTATCTAATATTTAGCTTTATTTAAATTACTGAAAATGATTTTAATAGTTTTATTTAACAATAACAACACTGGGCTGAAAATGCTTTTTCATTAGCTAATGCCAAATAGCATATAATAATAATGATAATAATAATAATAATATATTCTATATACATATATGTTTATATTAAATTATATTTCACAATACATATTTTTTGTAATGTATCTTTATAATACTCAAAGCACTAAAACACATAAAAAAAAATAATACATGGCATGTAAATACTTTTTTTTTTTAAATATTAAAAACTTTCAATTTCTGATATAACCAACAGATGTCTATGGTATGTCCTCATTAGATTGCTCAGTAAATGTGTGTGTGTGTGTGTGTGTGTGTGTG